CAGGCAAGCTGGTGAGGGGGCTGGATCCCATAGACGTCAGCAAGGCTGGCCCTGTATCCCAGGGGGAGTTGAAATGAACGCCACAGGATTTAGAGAAGTGGACTCCTGTCCTAGCTGTGCCCGTTTTACACAATGTAATTTTGAACTTCTGTTTACTTATCTGAAAATGGGAATGGTAGTAATACTTACCTCATGGGTTAGTAATAAAGATCGAGCAAATATTTGTAAAGCGTTCAGAGCACTGCTTGCCACATGGTCAACGTTCAGTTTATTCTATGATCACATATATTATTTATAAGCATGCTTACCTACAAACTTAAAATAGGATTTAAGTCGAGTTTCTTTGGATGCTCTGGTTTCTCAGAATATTTACTAGAATATTGTTTTGTTGGATTTAAATGACAGGCCATCCCATGAATTCTTTTGGAGCCAGAATAGAAAAAAAATGTGAGAACAGTTTTTAGAGAAACACACCAGATCCATATAAGTCAATAGAAGTTAAAATTTAAAATTAACAATTAAATTATAATCAAAATAGTGCCTGTTAGTTGTTACATCGGCCAACTCAAGATGAGCAGAAGATTATGAGAATCTTTAGCATTTATTGTTTTGCTTTTAAAAAAATTATTTGTTTAATTTTATTCATTCGTTTAATGTGACCAGAGAGACAGAGAGAGAGAGAAAGTGAGAAAGCAAGTCACCATGTTAGAGACTTGAACTGTGGTTGGCCATGCGGGAATGTCCAGCACCTTAACCACCATGCCACCTGCTACCCCCCCCTTTTAAATATTTATTTATTTATTTTATTTATTAGGCTGTTGGAAAAGTCATGATTCATTTTTGCACAGAAAATGTAACATAACTTTTCTGACCACCCATTGTTGGTATTATTATTATTATTATTATTTTAAATTTGCTATAGGGCACACGTGCTCATCAGAGAGAGGCAGAGAGAGAGAAGGTGAGAAAGCTGGCTTCCAGATCTAGGACTCAAACTGTGCTTGGCCATGTGAGAGTCCCCCACCCCAACCACCATACCATCTGTTGGCCCCACATTTATTGTTACAAAAACTACCTTGGGTGGACCAGCAGTTAGCATAATGGCTGTGTTCCTGGACTCCCATGTAGTCGACTGCGGTTCGAGTCCCTAGAGGAAAATGGAGGAGAAGAGATTGCCTCGTGGCTATCCCCCCGGGGGGTGATTTGTTGCTTTCTGTCTCTCTCTGTCTCTCTCTCTGTTTTTCCAGCGAGTGCACACGCCCTGGAGCAAAAACCTCTTAAAAAAAAAAAAAAGAAAAAAAAAAACTACCTTGGGGAAAAAAAAACCCTCACATTAAATAATAACCATGACTAACTATGGTAGAAATTTATTTGACTTAAACTAAGGAGGCCAGTTTCTTTGGCGATACTCTCTATAGCCTTTAATACACTATCGTGACCCTCCCAGAGAGAGAGCAGCGTGTCTCGTACTTTTTGGACCACTCTCCTGTCATCCTCCTGGACACCTGTGCTCTGCAGCACACTATGGGAAATGTAACCTTAGAGGCTTTGCTTTTGTTCACATTGGGTCCCAGGTAATCCCAACAAGGTGTGGCTAAACAATTAGCTGGAGGTCAGGGTGGGGGAAGGCCACTCAGATGACACTGGGTCCCGAATGTACTGTCACTGTATGACATAATGGTCACTGATACTGCTGAGTGCTTACTGTGTCCCAGGCACAAAACGCTTTAGCTGTATTAGCAAATCCCCTCCACAACTCCGTGAGGTAGGTCTAATCATTATCCTCATTTTATAGATGAGGAAACTAAGAGCCAGAGGGGTTAAGTAACTTGACCAAATCAGACAACCAGAAGGTGGCGTGGCCAGGACCCGAGCGCACATCTGGAGCGCGTGCTCCTGCTGTGCCTGCTGTGAGCTCAGGAGGCTCCCGCGGTGCTGTGGATGCATGAGGTGGGCTGCGGGATGTATCTCTGGAGGACAGAATGGCACTCGAGAATGAAGTGAGAGGGACCAGCAGTTAGCATAATGGCTGTGTCGCTGGACTCCCATTTAGTCGTTTGTGGTTTGAGTCCTGGACCCGGTGGCTTAAACTCATGCCAGGCTCGTGTGCGTGCATGCCCAAGATCCCAAGAGGAGAATGGAGGAGAAGGGATTGCGGCATGGCCATCCCCCCTGGGGGGTGATTTCTTGCTTTCTTTCTGTTTCTCTGTCTGTCTGGTGAGCGCACGCACCCTATAGCAAAAACCTCTCAAAAAAAACAAAAAAAAGAATGAAATCAGAGTGAGTTTGGTATGACTGGGGGTCATGTGGCTGGGGGTCATGTTTGCAATGGTCAGAAATGAGACTGAAACGGAATAGAGAGAGATCCTGAGGGCCTCGTCTGTCACACAGGGACTTTTGAGATTTTTGTGTATAATGGCTCTACCTCCTCTGTCCGTCAGGCTGCATGAAGAACTTCAGTAAGCTTAGAATTGTAACTGCTTATGAGTGAAAAAAGATAGACACTTAGGTTGGAACACACTCTCCACGTGGGGCAGGTGGCCTTGTAGACGGCTTCCTGCCACTCTAGCTTGCTTCTTTGTGGACTTTGTCCCGAGCAGAGAGCAGTCGTGGGAGGCCAGCTCTGATTTGTGCTTACAGGGAACATAGTACAGGGGATACATTAATACCGAGCGAGCGCTCTTCCCCCGTCTCAACTCCCTGCACTGCTGGCAGTTTTTGAGGACAAATCTTTTATGTTTCTCGAAGTAAGGAAGGTCTAGTACAGTGTAAGTCAAGGAGATGAGTCAACACTTCAGTGAGATTTTAGAATCTTAAGGCACAACTGAAGAGGCTGTACTATCTTGTTTTCTTTAGACTTATTTTCTTAAACTTTATTACTATTATTTTCCAGTTTGATCAGCTGGAGAGAGAGAAAGGGAAAGTGAGAAAGCAAGCCACCAGGTCTGGGACTTGAACAGTGGTCAGCCATGTGGGAGTCTAGCACCTTTAACCACCGTGCCTACCTGCCAGCCTGAGGTTGTACTTATCTTCTAATGAGTCTTAAAATGTTAAGTGCTTTTTAGTTTAATAGTACTAATATATACAAGGATTCCATACAATCCATACCCCCTCAGTGCCTGAGTTCGGACTTAGTGAGTAGCAAGGGTTTGTATAGCAAAGGGTGTATCTGAAAACTTACCAGAGGCTGTTTGGGTCCCAGGTTTGGATTTGGATAGGAAGAGTTTCAATAGCAAGGAATCTTTGGTTGGGAACCCCAGCAAAGACCTTGTTCGTTATTTTTTTTTTTCGTTTCCCAGAGGAGGAGACAGTACCTCCTTTGGCTACATAAATTGCTCTTCATTAAGTGGCAGCGAGGTTTTGACTTAATGAAGGTCATGGAACAAGTCATTTTACGGACAGGGTTAGAACTCAGTTCTTCTGAGTCCAGGAATCTTGCCCCAAGGCCTTCATGTACCTGAACAATTAGGATCTGTCAATAAATACCTCCTTATAGTGCTTAGCGAAATGAACAGGGGAGCTCCAGAAGTCAGTGGGGGTTATATGAACTCTGACTAACTGCCCAGGGAATCCCAAGAACTTCATGTAGAGAGTATTTATAAGAGTGAGTGGTGCATGGGAACCAGCAGTTAGCGTAATGGCTATGTCGCTGGACTCCCACGTAGTCGACCGCGGTTCACATCCCGGACCCGGTGGCTTAAAACTCACGCCGGGCGCGTGTGCGTGCGTGCCCAAGATCCCGAGAGGAGAATGGAAGAGAAGGGATTGCGGCGTGACCATCCCCCCTGGGGGGTGATTTCTCGCTTTCTGTCTCTATGTCTCTCTCTGTCTGTCTGGCAAGCGCATGCGCCCTACAGTGAAAATCTCTCCAAAAAAAAAGAGTGAGTGGTGCAGTGGTTAAGGTGCTGGACATGGTTCCAGTCTTGGATCTGGTGGCTTGCTTTCTCACTTTCTCTCTCTCTCTGTGTCTCTTTCCAGTCAAATTAAAATAAATGAATGAATAAATAAAATTAAATAAATAATTCTTTTAAAAAGAGTGAGGGGAACCAGCAATTAGCGTAATGACTATGTCGCTGGCCTCCCACGTAGTCGACCGCGGTTCGCGTCCCGGACCCGGTGACTTAAAACTCATGCCGGGCACATGTGCGTGCGTGCCCAAGATCCTGAGAGGAGAATGGAGAAGGGATTGCAGCATGACCATCCCCCCTGTGGGGTGATTTCTCGCTTTCTGTCTCTATGTCTCTCTCTGTCTGTCTGGCGAGTGCACGCGCCCTATAGCAAAAAAACCTCTCAAAAAATAATAATAAAAAAGGAGAGAGTATGTTTGTGATACCTGTGTAATAGAAAATCCAAATAGTAGGAAGATTTAAAGTTAATTCTAGAGAGAGCTTTTACTTGATCAGTTTGATTTGTTGCTGTTATTTTAAATCCCCCCTCAGAGAGAATGGCCACACTGCGATCCCTTCTCCTCTGGGGACTTTGGGCATGCATGCACATACACACACACACACACACACACACACACACACACACACACAGTATTTTTCTTAAGCCACGGGATCTGGGACTTGAACCATGTAATTTGATTTTGAAGGAGTAATATTCATCCTCAGTTCACCAGTTTTGAATCCCCATTTTTCTTTTGTGAATAATTGTTTTGCCTTGGTTATTGCTACTGACTTTAAATCTGTGTGCCATAAAAAAACGTTTGCGTGGGTAGTGGAGGGTGGGGAGGAGATGTAGGGTATGTGAAGACGAGAATGTGTGAGAAAGGGAGAGGTCATTCTAAGTGCCTTCAGCGCATGCGTATCTGCGCTGCAGCCTTACAGATCACACGTCAGACTTAGCATCGGCACCTGCAGAAAGGGGTACGTGTGTCGTGGTATCGACTTGCACCTGTGGGATTTGCTTTTTCTGTTTTAAATAGTTTTAGTTGAGCAGTTTACAGAAGGCTGATGTTTGCTCTGTCCATGGCATAATTGTCTAATGTTTATCCTTAGGTGGGTTTGCTGAGTTCTCTCGTTGTTTCCCTGGCCTCTGTGAAGGAAAATCTGCTCTAGTCCCTACCTGCATCTCTCAGCCTTGCTTACCTGTCGCCAACATTGGGCCAACCCGAATCCTTCCCAATCTTTATCTGGGCTGCCAGCGAGATGTCCTCAACAAGGTGGGTGCACTGAAAATCGCCTTCGTTGCCAGCTTTATTGTTAGCTGCTAGAGAGACAGCAATCACCCGTCACCAGTTTGAAACACACCACGGCCCCAGAAGACCCCATTTTCACTGTGACCCCTAGTTAACGGTCCTCATCTTTTAGAATGTTCTTTTGTTTGAAGTTATTTATTGCCACAGGAAACCTAAAACGTGCTCACATTTGCTTGTTCCTTCTAAGTCCATGAGACTCAAAGTCAGACAGGATTTTCCAGCCAGTTAGCCTTATTTTCTCAGGATAGGAATTGTCCGATTGTAATTGGCCACACTTAGAACGGCTAATACTTCCCACAGTATTTTCTATTTAGAAACATGTTTATTTATTGCAACACATTAGAAAAGGGCTCAGGTTGGGTAAGCATTGAGGAAGGTCCTCTCCATGCCTGGAGGGGGTGGGAGAGGTAGGAGAAAGATGGTGAGGGCAAAGGTTAAAAGGGTGCGCCACCAGCCCCTGGGGCCTAACGCTCCTTGGAGCAGTTTGGTTGAGTAAGAAGAGGGAAGAGCATGGCTTCTTGCTGCAAAGGACGTGGTGTGCCCTAGCAGGGGAGTGCCTCATGGGCTCAGGCCTTGGTGTACAATGGTACAAGCACAACGACATTGGAACTGCATGGCGGCGCCACAGTTTTATGCTCCTAACCAGTAGTGCTAGGCAAGGGTACTCTTTCTTCCTGGAAAAGTGATTTTTATCTAAAGCCTATTAAGGTGCATCACCACAAATCGAAAAAGCAGCCAAAGAGCTTAATTTAAATACTGATGACTTGTGAGTGCCACTTTCTTGTATAAAGGGCGGTGTGCCTTCACATTTTCTCCTTGAAGAATTAGGTTGTCCATAAAATAAGCTTCCACACTGACTTTCTTTAGCACATGGAAAGCAAAGTTTTCCAAGTAGGGGGGGAAATACCCCATTGATGGGCTGCAGTGAGGCATTCTTTTCCCCCCAAACTCTTGTCTATTCAAAATTATGCTTCTATATTCTGTTACTATATCTGCTCGTACTATGAGATCTGCCTATTTGAGATTCGATATGTTTTGCTTGTTCTGAGCTTTCTGGTGGGGTCACAGTGCCTTCGAGCATGTGATTATTAATTCTTTGAGAGATAAGCAAACTATGTTACAGTTTCCAAAAGTCATGCACATGACTTTTGGAAACTGGACAAAACTTTGTCCTAGGACAAAGCTGGAGATGGTGTATTTAATCCCCAGATCAGAAAATCAAATCGGGGGAACCAGCAGTTAGCGTAATGGCTGTGTCGCTGGACTCCCACATAGTCGACCGCAGTTCGCGTCCCGGACCTGGTGGCTTAAAACTCACGCCGGGCGCGTGTGCGTGCGTGCCCAGGCTCCCGAAAGGAGAATGGAGGAGAAGGGATTGCGGCGTGACCATCCCCCCTGGGGGGTGATTTCTCGCTTTCTGACTCTAATGTCTCGCTCTGTCTGTCTGGCGAGCGCACGTGCCCTATAGTGAAAATCTCTCTCAAAAAAAAAAAAAAAAGAAAATCAAATCGGGACCAGCAGTGAGCATAATGGCTGTTGCTGGACTCCCACATAGTTGACCACAGTTCGTGTCCCGGACCTGGTGGCTTAAAACTCACTCCAGGTGCGTGTGTGTGCATGCCCAAGATCCCGAGAGGAGAATGGAGGAGAAGGGATTGTGGCGTGGCCATCCCCCCTGGGGGGTGATTTCTCGCTTTCTATCTCTCTGTCTCTCTCTGTCTATCTGGCGAGCATACGTGCCCTATAGCAAAAACTTCTCCAAAAAAAAAAAGGAAAATCAAATCAAGTCCCTAGTTCGGGATACCACTTAATCCTGATAAACTTGAATCAGTCAGTCCACAGGTAGTTCCACAAATAATTGTCAACAGATCATTTCTGTTACTTTTGACATTAAACTTAGTAGGACATTTATTTTACTATAAACCTTTTTCAGATTTAGCAGATATGTTAGTGAGCAACTAAGCACCTACACGGTAAGAGCAGTTAACCCAGAACGTGGGGTTGAGGATAAGGGAAAGGATAGTTTGCTGTTTTTCATTGACTTCCAAACATGTTAAGTAGAAATGCATGAAGATGCACTGAGGGAAATGTTTGCAGGGGGAGAACGAGTTTATGGAAGTGGGCAGGACAACAGCTTGGTCAAGGAGTCCTTATGGAAGACTGTGGGAAAGCTTCTTTATAATAGCTGTGTGAACTAGGGGAGTGCACAGCAGGATGGACAGGTTTGAAAGCAGTGAATGGACATTCACATCTGAGCTCCAGATCATTTTTTCACAAGCGCCTTAGTGCTGAAGGGGATTTTAGAGATCATTTAGTCAACCACTTTCATCTGGTAAATGAGGAAATTGATATTCTAGAAATGGTAAGGAATTGCCAACATCACCTAGTTGAGTTGCAGAACCAGATTTGCCTCTCTTTCCAAAAAACATAACTGATCTTCCTCAACTTAATGATTTAAACTTCATAGGAAAAATAACATGCTTCTTTTCTTCTTAAAGAGTTTCACAGACGTAGATTTTCTACTCTTCCCTAATAGGACATTTTTTTAAATTAAAATTCTAACCGCAAAGCCACTAACTTTATTAATTTTTGTAAGTGACACTAAATGTTAAAAGCACATCAGAGAAATTTTCTCAGGTGGCTCATGCTATTTGCCATTTAAAATGTCAGGCTCAGCCCGCCCATGGCCTGGTGGTTAAGGCGGCTGAATCCCAAGTGACTGATCACACGGTTTGAGTCCCAGACCAGCAGCTTGAAAAACATGCTGGGCATATGTGTGTGTGCCCAGAATCCTGAAAGGAGGGAGAGATTGAAGAGGTGGGATTCCAGCGTAACTAAGCTCCTGGGGGGATGTGGAGGCACTTTCTTGCTTTTTCTCTCTCTCTCACTCTCTCATTTTCTCCCTGTTTTTCTCTGGCAAGCACATGTGCCTTGTAACAGTTTTTTAAAGAAGTCGGGCTCTTTATATTATTGCATTTAACCCTCATAAATAGGATTTGAAGGTCGACCGGCCTCAGGTGACTACATCACCCACCAAAGACGATGGTGACTTCAGTGCTGGTCAGTGTCAGAGCACATACAAACTTCGCTCCTCTGATTTTAAATTCTATGTTTATATAACCCAAAATACTCTGTCTCCTGGAAAATGAAATTCTCTACGGTAAAGCATTACAAAAGACTCACAGAGCTTAACAGTCTGTTGAGTTACAATTGAGATGTTTTTCCCCTGCATTTTCCTTAGGATCTCCTTTTTTTAATTTTCTTTTTTAAATTTTGTGAGAAGCATGTGCACCGGTCAGAGAGAGACAGACAGAAAAGGGAAGTGAGAAAGCACCCCTTACAGGGGATAGCCATGGCACAGTCCCTTCTCCTCCATTCCTCTTTTCAGAATTTTGAGTATGCACACATGTGTGTACCACATATTTTTTAAGCCACTGGGTCCAGACTCAATCCATGTAGTTGGCCACATGAGATTCAGCCACCTTCACTACCAGTGCCACCAGCTGGCCCTCCTTAGAATCTTCTGTACCAACCATTTCAACAGAAAAATAATGCAAGCCATATATAATTTTTTTAGAGAGTTTTTGCCATAGGGCATGTGCACTCACCAGAGACACAGAGAGACACAGAAAGCAAGAAATAACCTGCCAGGGCTTGGGGGGATGGCCATGCTGAAGTCCCTTTTCCTCCATTCTCCTCTCGGGATTTTGGGCATGCACATACATGCACTTAACATGAGTTGTAAACTGCTGGGTCCGGGACTTAGACCGCCGTCGACTATGTGGGAGTCCAGTGACATAACCATTCTGCCATCTGCTGGCCCCATATTTAATTTAAGACTTTCAAGGGCTGGCTCCCTGGCCTGGTGGAAGCTATCCAGATCCCACATGGCTGACAGGCAAGGTTTGCATCCTGGCCCTGGCAGTTTGAAAACCATACCAGGCACATGTGCTTGTCCAGTTCTGACAGGACAGAAAAATGTAATAACCTGGACACTAACATTTAATGAAACTGGATTACACGTCACTTCATCCTCGCATCAGGCTTACACAATGTACACCGTTAGCCCTATTTTACAGGGGAGGGAATTAAAGCTGAGCTGGGTTAGGTAGCCTAACCTACCCAAGAGCATACAGTTAATGAACAGCAACTCCCAGTGCCATTCTCTGCCTCTCCCACGTGTAGTACCCATCTACTTTTCAATAGTCTGTGCTATACCAAGATTCCACATTAGCTACTAGTGAATTTTCTTTCTTTTTTTTTTTTTTAAAAGAGAGATATTTCGCTATAGGGTATGTGCACCCACCAGAGACAGAAAGATACAGAAAGCGAGAAATCACCCCCTGGGGGGATGGCCATGCTGCAGTCCCTTCTCCATTCTCTTCTTGAGTTTGGGCACGCATGCACATACACCTGGTGGGTCTGGGACTAAAACCACCATCGACTATGTGGGAGTCCAGCGACGTAGCCATTATGGCATTTGCTAGTCTCACTACTAATGAATTTTCTAATGAGAGGTTTCTAGAAGTTTAGTTTAATGAATTGACCAGCCTTCTCATTATGGCATTTGATAAAGTTCTTTAGCTTGGCCGTACAACTCTTAAGCTTGATGTTTTAGACACCAGAGGATCTAATTCTCCCTTTTTAGTTCTTGACTCATTTGTTCTCTTGTCCTGCTCATCCTTTCCTAGTGTCTGAACAGACCACAATAGTCTATGTTCCCAGGTACGTCTGCACTTCCATTTGTCTTCATTCACTTTCTATTTTGTTTGATTGTTTTCTTTTTTTTTTTTTTTTTTTGGAGAGGTTTTTTGCTATAGGGCACGTGCGCTCGCCAGACAGACAGACAGAGACATAGAGACAGAAAGCGAGAAATCACCCCCCAGAGGGGATGGTCACACCGCAATCCCTTCTCCTCCATTCTCCTCTCGGGATCTTGGGCACACACGCACATGCGCCTGGCG